CGAGGTCTATCAAAGTACGCATCCAAGGGATCCTGTATGGTCTGCCTGCAGGCTTGTATCAGTCAGGTGAATCCACGACGGGAAATTCCAACTGACTATATCTGAATTTTATGCACAGAGTAGCGTCACACGTAGTAGCCCTAAATATACCAACCCTACGCTGCAGAGTACTCTATAATCTTAGCTGCTTGCAATTATTTATAATAATTAATTCATTAATCACATAGCTCGTGATACAATTCATGATTACATTCTTTAGCTTGAGAATCATATATTTTGTGACCTATGCACTTACGAACAGTCTGTGCTGGCTGCTTTCTTTAAATTTATGCAACAAGTACATCGCTAACTTCTAAGAGTTCCAACTGTAGACAAATGTAGTTGTGTGAAACATATTGCTTCCTTGAAGAGTACTATAACTCTATAGGTTTAGGACTCAACATGAGAGGGTTTATAAAATAGGATAACTTTCTTTCAAGTATCATAGAATCTATAGTGACACTTATCGGAAGAACATGCGAATTTACGTCGTGCCATAAGGGCAAAAAAAGGTTTTAGCTTTACATACCTTAATTCGGGACTTACTATCTTATGTCGTCAAACTCCTTTGCTGACAACTTTATCTATAACATAAAATCATAAAAGGATAGTATAAGAAACTAATCAAGAGTCACAACAATGCCAAAAACACAATAATGGTTCGCGAGCTACAATCTCAACAATTACCATAGATGAGTGGTGTATCACCACACCCTTCTATTTCTCTACTTTCCAAGTAGGCTTATGACTTATTTACATGTTTAGTATTACTCCTCGTCATTTAACCATAAAGAACCAGCCCCCTTAATCATCCATACTTAACATAAAAGTAAAACTCATGGCCTCCAATCACCATCCCACCGGTTCCTTGTTAACGATGTCAAATTCCTTTATAAGCTCATAGTTTAAGTTGGTAGAGAACTAATGTCATAAATTAAAATAATAGGAGCTCATATAACCAGCTACAACATATCCTTAGTGACTTAGGAATTTCAACAAACACTTGGTGAGCGACAAACTTTCAAGAACTATAATAGTCGTGGTCTCTATACCTCGCCTTCCGTTTTAATGTAATCAGCTTACTTCCTCAATACAATACCATTGACCCCTCATTTGGTCAAAACAACAGCCAATACAACCTTCTACAAACTCCCTCCTCACCAAAATATCAAATACAATGGGTAAAAATAGACCCACGACTTCTTATCACCGTCCCGTGAGTCCTACCCGCAAATTATACTTAAAGCATCTTTGGAATACTATTTATGAAGATAGAAGAGGATTCATACCTATATATCAAAGAAAAGAAGCCCCTGCCCTTCTTTATTCTCTAAGAACAATACTTTTTTCTTCAATAAAACATTTAGCTAAGTATATCTATAGGTCTATGGAGAGGAGGACACTTGATTCTTGAAGAAACCAACTTACCTTAAGCTTTGGTGGATTGAAGATGAGAAAAACTTGAAGAAATAACTTGAAACCAGTCCTTACACGTTTTTGAGTATATGAGAAAGTATATCCCAAACTTCTAATATAAAAACAACAAGTTTGGCTGACTTTCTCTAAAGTGCCACATGTCCCGCAGTGATTAGGCAGTGCGCGCGTCTGTCGTAGAATGAACATAACTTTTTACTCCGATATCGTTTTAACGAGCTGTTTGTTTTGCTTGAAACTAGACTCAAATACCTTCAATTGGATAGGTTGTAGGCCCTCTAACTCGTTATATATTAGGAGATATGCTCGTTCAAAGTTAGATGAGAAATGAGATCATTTGTAGTATTTCTCCACAATGAACCTTTAAACTTTAATCTTTTCTTTAATGATCTCTTTGACCTAAATCTTTTGTTTAACCCTCAAATGAATAAATACAAGGGTTACATGGTATGCTTAACCATTTTCAATGATATACCTCCCCCGATATCACATCTATGCATTGGTCTTTACGAGTCGCAAATGTATTTTAAGTTACATGATATTACACATATATGAGTCACTTTCATAATGAGGGTTATATCAGCTCTAAATGACAAAGTTGAGGGGTATATCAGTCTTTTTTCTCTTTAATATATTTAACCTTAAATTAGTTAATTGTCAAATTCTCATAGAAAAAATCTACGAAAATAGGCACGTCGATGGATTAGTCAGAACCATAATTAAGAACATGTGTTACATGCTATTCAATAGCTCCATAGGGAAGGAAGCTGGTCCAATGAATCAGTCTCATGAGTGATCTCCTATCCATATCAACTAAATGAAGTGATATTTTTGAAAGAAAAAAAATATTTACTATAACTTTTGAAATGTAAATTGCTTGTCCAAATAAAATTTGAACTCCAAATCTATAGGGATGACTCTAAGGGAAAACTAGATATTGGGCCTTAAGTTTTTCAAAATTTATAAAAAAATATTATTATTTTGTTTTGTTTTGATAATATTGGAGTTTGTTTTAAAAAGATTTAAAATTGTCTAACTTTTTATAGTAGAATATTTTAGAATTTAAATTAAACTATTCACCTCTTCATATTAGTAAATTGTTTTTTGATATAATAACATCCAAAATATTGTATTACACATGCATGGTTAACCTCTTATTAACTTAAATTTATTCATTCTAATATAAATAATAACAATAATATTATCATGTGAACTTAAACAGTGTATCAAAAAATTCAAAATTAATTTATTTTTAAATATAAAAATATACCGCTTCTTAAAAATTAACTGATAAAAATTAATATCACAAAAATATAGATATATAACATGCTTTGTACGAACGTTCAATAACCAGTAATGTTAGTAATTTGGTTTAGCTCACTGATGTTGATGAAAGAGATATTCTTTCTTGTGATTTGTGAATTGGAAGATTGTTTTCAGAACTTTGGTTTTGAATTCGAATTTAGATAAAAATTTGATAATATAGATTCATTAATTAATTAATGAGAGAGAAAACACAATAAAAAATACCCGCAATAAATCATACGATATATGTTATCTACGGTCGATAGCCATGCATTTATGAGCTAAAAATCTATATCAGACTTAATGCTACATCTATTCTATTATGATTAGTGCTACATTTACTCTGTGTGAATGTCAATCATAAGCATTGACATATTATGTCTCAGGTTGCGTATCTTAGGTCGTAGTTCCAATTAATTGAAGACTACATTTCTATGGTTAAACAAGGAACTTGCTTGCTTCATTGAAGGTGGAAGACTTAGCAATTAAATGACTTTTTCAAAATAATGATTGTCACTCTCAACTTAGGTTAGATGATAACTAATTGGTGTTAAGTTGTAATATAATTACTTTCATTGGACTTATTTAACATGTCTTCCTAATTTTTTTAAAAATTCAATAGCTTTGCAAATCCAATTTTTTTTTTGAAGTCTTGTTACATGTTGTTCAATCGCTAATTCAACTTTTCAAATGACGTGGTTGTGCTAGGTGACTTGTCTATAATGATCAGGGGGCGGAGCTCGTGAATTCGGACGAACCGAGTAACTTTTTCATACATCCTATATTTGTATTAGAAAATTAAGTAATAACTTGTGAAACCTGACAAAATTGATTGATAGCTCAATAGTAAGGATGGAGAAGGAAATTTAGAACCCTCAAACTTTTAATACTGGTTCTGCCTCTGAATTAATGACAAAGGGATGGTAGGTCATATTGATCCATACCCAAAAGCTTTTAGTTTCTCTCTTATTGCATATTCCCATCTTGGAGAGCATTTATCATGCGAGTTCACTTTTTTCTCCAATTAACTATTAATCTTGTAGCGTATTGTACGTTTATCCTAAAGATTATCTGCACAAATATGTTTTTATTCTACCGACTTGTTGTATAAGTAGAGAAACACTAAGTTGAGCAGTCACACAAATGAACATATATATATGTAATATGTGTGTGTGTTTTCCTGTTCTATGCTTCATCTATTCCGCAATTGTAGTATGAACAAAAACTTCTAAAGCTGCATTTAAACTTCGTACCTCTCAACCACAACTTCTGATCTACTAAAGGGATGAAAACCAGTAAGATTAAAAAGTACTAGTGGCAAATCATCATTTTTACGCTCAAAACTTATTACTTGAACTTGAAGCATACTGGAGTGAGTAATAATTTTGAGAGAAGCATCTTGTGGCGGCTCATTAATAAAAGACTTTTTAGTACGTGAGGATACTTATTAATAAGAATAAAACTGACATGTGAAACATAAGAATAAAACTGACATGTGAAACACAAAATTAATGTCCAATAATACTTTACTATATATATCACCATTCAATATACTAAATATAATAGAGATGACTATAATTAATGAGGATTCGGTTTGCTTTCTAAACTTATCGGCACCAACCCAACTATTCAGCTTGATTGTCTCCCCTTATTTAGCTTCATTTTTAACTTATTGGTAGCGCTTCAACTATTTTTTTAGTTGCTATATGTGAGTTACAACTTACAAAGTTACATGCATCAGGGAGGAGCTAGAATATATATAATAGAAGATTCATTTCAACTTTCTTTATAAAAAAATTATATTATATAAGGTTAAAATTATTTTCAAATATCTTATCTTGATCAATAACCTGCATACACAAGTCTTTATCTTACTTTTCTTTAAATTTATTTTAGAAAGAATGTTTTTTTTTTCTCTTCTAATTTATTTCAACATATCACATGATATTTTAACACATATTTTTAATTTAAGACTACAAGATTCAAATTAAAACGGAATAAATATTTTCCATCAATTGCGTTAGTTAGTTTAATAAGAGAGAAACTTGAAAAGAAAATCAACACACAAAGAAAAGATATGTAAATATTTTTTGGGTCTTTCAAAAATTGTTCCTCTATATTTTGTTCAAAGTTTATTTAATTTCATTAAATATGTTATTGTTGTTAACCAAAAAATCTGTTACAAAATGGTAATCCATAATTCATGTAAAAGTCACAGCCAATACTGAATAGTGAGTAAATCATCTTCTCCCAAATTTCATCTCATGGCTCAACAATCCACTAAACGACCCTTGAAAATCATCGCCGGCGCCGATTCCTTCGGCTGCAACCTCAAAGACGTCTTAGTCTCTCAACTCCGTGCTCTCAACATCCAAGTCGAAGACCTCGGAACCGACAAATACTACTCTGTCGGCGAAGAAATCGGCCGCCGAGTTAGTCAAGCCGCTGATGACCCCGCCGTTGAGACTCGAGGACTCGTCGCTTGTGGTACCGGCGTCGGAGTGGCCATTTTCGCTAACAAGTTCCCCGGTGTCTATGCTGCCACGTGTCTTAACCCGGACGAAGCCCGGAATGCTCGTTCCATCAATAATTGCAACGTTCTCGCTGTTTCCGGCATGAATACCACGCCGGAGGTAGCTTCCGACGTTCTGAAGACGTTTCTAGAAACACCGTTTAAGTCTCCTTGCCCCGCTTCTGGATCTAACCCATGGCCCGACGAAATCGACCAATTTTTAGAAAATTCGGCTAATGAAATGAACAAAATTGGTACTCCGAAACCAGTGGAATCCTCTAGTGATTGTCATCTTTGTTCATTGGTGAAGTCCAGAGAGTTCAATGCTGTGGACATAATGCCCGGTGGTTCAATTTCCATAGTGAGGGAGAGTCCTACTTCAGCATTTGTGCGGTTCACTGCAGGGAGCGTGGAGCCGGCGCATCATCATACATTCGGGCATGATCTTGTGGTGTTAAAAGGTAGTAAAAGGGTTTGGAATTTGAGTAAAGGGGAGAAATATGATTTGGGTATTGGGGATTACTTGTTTACACCAGCTGGGGATGTGCATAGAGTGAAGTATTTTGAAGATACAGAGTTCTTTATCAAGTGGGAAGGACAGTGGGATTTGTTCCTGGATGAGGATCATGCTGCTGCCAATGCTGCAATTGATAAGGAGAAGGAGAACTGATTAATCCCAGTGAGTGCAAGCAATGCTTTACTAGACTAGCTTTTGCATGTATTTCATGCTAATGAAGAAATATATTAAAATAATATGAGTACAATATTATAATTGGAGTACTACTGGTATTTTATATTCAAGAACAACTACTATGCCAGGAATAAAGAGATACTACTATTATTTAATTAATTAAATGGAAGCTTTTGTCCCCAAACTTGGTTATTTGTAACAGTCATTAGCATGAATAAGTCGTGGTCTTTAAATTTTGTTCTTTAAGTAACAAAAAGAGTGGTCGAAATATGCTGTAAAAAAGACAAAACTTATGTAGATAGATGCATAAGTTTAGTGTTATGTCGTAAAAAGCATAACTTAGTTCCTATAGAACTTATGTCGATGGAGGCAAACGTTTCCTAAACTTATATCGAGCGAATTAGACACTACCCAACTTATACCGAATGACTTAATTTCTATAGAACTAATGCCAGACGAAACAAAAGTTCATGCTGAACCAAATTAGGTCATACATAAATGTACTTTGGCACACAACTTTTCATTAAATGAGCATTAGGGACAAAAATTAAAGAGCAACCCCGAAGTAGGGGCAATCCGTGCAAAGACATAATTCACTTTACACATGGAGTTTTTCTGATGTTATCTTTAAGATAGATAATCTTGTTATTTTGAAGAAAAGAAAAGAATAAGTGAAAGATGAGAATTGAGATATGATATGATGGGTACTATTTTGGTATGTCAATGTACTCAGGTTGATTTCCTTTGTTAAAAAACAGCGAGTTGTGTTATTTGACAGTTATGTTTAATTAGTCAATCTTTCCGATCAAACAAGTCAACAGTGTTAATGTGTGTTTGTTGAACTTATCCATGTTTTCCTTACGCTACGCTACACTACATTGTTTGTTGAAGTGTGTGACCATCTCAGGACCTTTGTCTGCTCTGATACCATGTTGAAGTGTGTGATAATCTCATCTAAAAGCTTAAGTTGTTTGAGAGAGCACACTTTTATTATTTGATTATATTCTCAACATTATTTGTTTGAGATCTTTCCCTTTGTGGTTGTGCAGACAAGCAAGTAAGGACAGACCGAAATGGCAGCATATGCATGTCTTTGACATATTCATTACTAAGGTCTAAGATATGTAAGCTCTCTATGAAGGAATGGCATTCTTCAGTTTGATGCAAATATTGTAATGGCAGTATATATGTTCGTTCCCCAATAAGGACCGTGCATGTTAGGAGTGCATGGTGGCTATGGTATATGTAATATACTTTGTGAACTTTACTTTTTTTAACTCTTTAATGGATATTATGAGTTACAATAAATTAGTTGGAGTATTTTTTGTCTTTTGACGTTATACGCTCTAGTTGTATACTATATACATTTCAGTCGTATATTACCATACTTGTTCTGAATTAAGGTTAAGAGTTGAGAGATTCCACATTTATATATGTCAAAACAATAATTTCAAATGGTAATATTAATGGGAAGTGTAGTGTGCAACCTCAGAAGTTATTAATTATAATGTCGTAATAATATTTAGATCCTTTTCTATTACCAAAATAGTTACAAAAAAATAACTTAATACATGTAGTAATGGATTTCTTCTGGACAGAGGCTCAACTTCTTCTCTGTCGTGGTCGGTCCATGTTACAAGTCTCAGGTGTAACAAAGTTCTTCTCAATGATTGATGAAACAGCAATAAGATCCATTTCACTAATCTGGATTGTGGCAGAATAGATACATACCATCACTATGAAGATATACTAATGATTACATACATACAACATGTTTAAACCTTTTGATTTCCATCTTGTGGACTCAAAAATTAGAAGAATTCTTCCTTGTGCAATGCCTAACTGAGTTGTATTTGGATGACTTTGCAGTGAGTCATCAGACAAGACTCAACTCATCAGATAGGGACACACCTTTAGAGATCTCGTTTAACTCAGCAGCAGTGATCTTTTTCCGCAACGCCACCAGCTGCTCTCCAACATTACATATGTATGCAGAAGCTTGCCTACCTGAAAGAGTTGCCCCTTCCATGCTATCGATGTAGTCCTGAAGAAAACAAGAATTTCCACACAAGATGAAACTTAACCAACCACAAGAACACCAATCTAGTTGAAAATATCAGAGTGCTGATGTATCCCTGTGAAACGAAATATCACAGGTTGTATTGCATACTTGGTTGCAGCTCATTGTTACATTCATAGAAGAAATTTGTACTATTCGTTGTCATTCTATCATCCTGTACAAAGGTCCTAATAAAATAGTTTAAAGTTTCAAAGCCTCTAAACTGCCATTAGTTACATATGATCTATTCTTTATAACAATCAGATTTGGATACTATCAATGCATAACTATCTCATAAAGAATACACACTTCTATAGACGTAATTCAATTTTCAGCCATCAACTTCTTTTTTTCTGGTACATGTTGGCCAAACAGAGATTAAACTTGCCCAATAAACTTTTTGAGGTTGATTCACTTTATGACATGGACACAGTGATATCCCTTTTACTTGAGTAGAAGCATCACATGTTTAATACACAAGATCTAAATAGTAAGACTTTAGGATAAAAGCAGGGTACCTGTTTTGTATATGAGCCAGCAAGAAAGAAATTTTCCACTGGCGTTTTCTGATCAGGTCTGAATGGGTCTTTACCAGGCCCTTCACGATATAAAGATTGTCCTATCTTCACAACTGATGACCAGGTAACCTCAAGACCTTGGGAAGAAGGAAATAATGCCAAAACCTGATACCAAAATATCTTACACATTAAGGAGCCACTTGATTCATATACTAGTATGCAAGTATCATAAGAAAGAACGATTACTCAAAGGTCACTTTTGTCGCTAAATAGCTTAATCCTCATACTGCTAATACACTCATTCTCACTAAATGTTCTATACCCCATTAAATTAAACATTGATTTATATATAACTTAATGCAAATATTAATTTTGACAATTATTTCTTCTTATGCAGTCAATCAAATGCTACACTTTTTTCTGATTACCAAAGAAACTCGCAAGGGGAAGTGAAGTATAATTTGGAAAGTTAGTCCGTCTCTCTGCCTCTTTCCACTTAAATACCTTTTTTTTTTGTCTATAGTAGGTTTTGAATCCGCTACATGCGCATAACCCTACATATCATGCGATGCACTCTTACCACTAGACCAAAGCCTACACGCTATATTAGTTATGTAGTGATTGTTTTTTCTTGTGTGGCCAGACAAATGTTGAAAATCTCTATCCTACCATAATTCTCTTTTCTTTAGCCATCTGTTTTCTTTCTCGGGGTGGGGGTTTTGGGGGGTTGGGGGGGGGGAGGAGGAAATAGGTTCTGAAGTAATCGGCAATGTTTCTTTGAAATATAATTCTTACTTTCAGGGATGCGAAATTCTAATCCGGGATGCTTCTCTTTAGAAAACATAATGCATGTGCATGACATCCAAAGAATCCAAATTTGATAGATTAATTCATCATCGTGTTTTTACATAGTTGAAATTCCTTGAAGACGCAAAGCTTCATGTTTTTTTTTTTGTGAGGAGTAGCAGGTGGGGAGGGGTACTGGGAGTCGAGTCCATGCATTTTGTAATAGACTCTCATAGGTGCCATCAAGCTACAATTTATTGGCAGTGTCATGGATTTTAAAATCACTCGAGCACAATAGTGGCACAGATTTTAAAACCCAAATACTAGTAGAAAATAATTGACATTTGCTTTCCATTATTAAGTTTGTTTTGAAGTTTAAGTGCCTAGGATGAATTTGCTTCTGCAATAACATATTCTACCGGGTCATTTGCTTCTGCAATAGCTTAACTCAGATCCCCTGAGAGCTTCCATTTTTAGTTTTGGTCTGTGACCGTGTCTCTTGTTGATTAATTCATTTGAACCAATTTTTTTTTTTTATGACAAGGGAAACCCGCAGCCGCTACCCTTTGGGTGCGCACAGGGTAAAACCCCCCCTTCTATGCAATAGCTCGCAAACCACATAGAAGAGGTATCCCTCATCTGAACCAATTATGTCAACAAAGAACTATTAAGACTCTATAGCATGTGCTTCTAAGTTGCATTTACTTGGATTTTCAAACAGCAAGGTCACATATTACCTTTTTATCTTTTTTAGAGAGTACTTCCATTCTTTTCTCGGTATAGGAAATTCAAAGATGAAATGGTATTGAGTCAATTATATCTATCTCGCTCCTAGGGCTTTGGACTAGTGGAAAGGGCACAACTTGTGATGTGTGGGTTAGGCGCATGTCACGTATTCCAACCCTGTCACGGCAGAAAACATTGTATTTAAGTGGAGAAGGATATAGGGGTTGATCTGTTATCCACAGAGTTACAAATTGTGTGCCACTAGCCCTTGTGGATTCTCAGTTATTTAAAAAATAATCTCTATCTCTATCCCTATATGTTGTTTCCTGTTAAGTAAAATCATGGTTTAGTTTGATTTATGCTCCAGCTTAAGAATGTAATTGACGATATGTAGTTTGGACGATCTCTGTCCGGCAACATAAAATAGTGTTTTCCCTGGCAAAATTTGTTACCTTATATCATCCACTAACACATATAAGAACACGTGGGTACCAAGGTTTTCCAGAAAGAAAAAAAAGAGGCTCGTATAAGAAGCTAAATTACCTGCTTTGTAACTCTTTTTATGATTTCATCATTTGGTAGAGGCATGTAAGGGTCACCAGGCGTAAGGACACATCTGGAGGCACCAAGATAGAGGAGAATAGATCAGAGAGGAACAAGATAACCAGAAGATTTAAATCTAATGAGTTGCTGAGCAGTTATCTGATAGTAAAGATAAGAACATAATTCCTTACTGAAGCAATGAGCCTTGTCCCTCAATGTAGTAATCATCCGGAGATGCCAATGCAAGATCTGCAAAGCAAGAGAAATCTGCATCTGGTGTATACAGGAGATTGTCCAAACCTGCAGCGCGCTTCAATTGCCTGAATTACAGAGAGAATTGTTATCTAACACAGATTTAGT